TTGGAAGACCAAACAAAGTAGTTTCGCTTTCACAACGAAAAACACAGCGGCCTAGCGTGAGGGGAAGCCCCGGCTTAGCGTGCGCTGAGGCTGGAATAGAGTGAGCTGAGGCCGGGCTAGCGTGTGCGGAAGCCCCGGCTTAGCGTGAGCTAAGGCCGGGCTAGAGTGAGCTGAGGTGGCAGGGTCGAGAACGGCGCACCCAGCGGATCTGACGAATGAGCGGCAACCACATGTGACAGACCCCGGGCTGGATTCCGCTTCGTCCACGGTGAAAGTTGATGTATTCCCTCAGCAACCAGCACAGATCAGCTCTAGGCATGACGAAGCGGATATCGTCCTCTTTTGGAAGACCAAACAAAGTACAACGAAGCACACAGTATCTTCACGACCTGGCTGCAGCGTCAACAATACTACAGTGAGACTAAAAGTTACGCCTTCTTTCTTTGCGTGAACATTTGGGTGGCGTTATGCAAATCTTCCCACAGAGCGACGTAGGTATGTGGGGGCGTGTTAGAATGAGCCGTTTTAGGTAGGTGTCTGACTCTGAACTTTTATAAAGAATATCTCTTTGGATTTGAGACTTTAGTCTTTGCAACTTTTATATTATTGTAACATAATAGGGATTTAAATTGAACATGACAATATTATTAGAATATTAATATGCAATAAGGATATATTTCTCTAATTTCTTCACTTTCATGTGATATTCTAAGGAAGTGCATTTAAACCTGAGACCATTTATTTCACATAAAGAAATAGTTATGAATTTCTGTTTTGGCCCTATTAGACAGTAGTTTTTATGCTTGCATTATGCTTTTTATGCAGATCTTGAGCTCTCATCTCTTCCTCAGTGATGTTTTGTTACATTAGCTTTGTATGGACACGCAAATGTGAACATAAAGCGAAATCAGAATGCTTTGCATTCACAAATGGCAGTCAGAATGCCTCTTGAGAATTAATATTTGCACCAAAAATGTGCAAAAACACATTTCTTGGCATTTCTAGCATTGACTATTCGCATTTCTCTTTATTTGAATGTGCACAATGACTGTGATTAGCTCAAATAATAATGCAAGTTTATGCATGTTTGAATCTAAATACTGTACATATGCAAATAGGTTTGTGCAATTTTGTGACCTCTCCCTACCATGCGCTCAAACGGGTCCTGTGTGTGTGCAGCCTTGTCCAGCAGTTCGCTGTACTCCAGTTCCTCACACAGTCTCTGCAGAGTGTTGAGCGGCTCGTTGAGTTGAACAGGCATGGCTACTTTAGACAAGTCCTTCCCAATATTGTTCTTCAGGATGTTCCACAGGCTGATGTTGCTGGTATTGGGACTGGGGGAGGGAAGACAAGACCGCCGCTGTTCTTGAGAACCACCGTTCTCTACACAGCCTAAAAAGGAAAAACGCTTGCAGATCAATTCCAGCAATGTCTCTGGAAGTTTCAGTTCAGGCTTGTTAAAATTGCTTGACAGTGCTTTTTCCGAACACACCTAATCCCTCATCCAGCTATAAAACAGCTGTCAAATGTAGACCGTAAGAGATTCTCACTGGATCTTTGAAATAATAATGGAATGACAGCAAAATATCAATGACTTGAGGAAAAATGTGGCATACCCACCTGTATTGAGTCTCTCATTCTCTACCTCATTGCTGAAGTTATCCATAGACACGTTGTCACTGATGTCACTGATATATGAGTCATCTTCCGAAGGCTAGCAGGAAACCACACATCATCATTACAGGTGTTTGGCTCTCTGACAATATAAATATATCATAGCTAGTCTACTGACCATCTAACAACTGGAAATCATCTCCATGTGGATCTCTCGGCACCCTCTAATAAACCACATTATCAAAACCGTAAAGATAAAGCAGATTTCATTGTCCATCACTCAAATGGAGAAGATGAAGAACGTTTTTCGGGGTACAAATTTTCGGGGTACAAAAAAACAAAAAAAACACAGAAGCCTAATTCTGCATGAGGTATTTTTTAGAGAGAAGCAATTATCTCAATTTTCATATTACTTCTGCTACAGGAGACGCTTAAGCAGGTCGGCCTCAATGTGAGGCAGAAAGGCAGAAATGAAGTTAGAGTGAGAAAGCAGGGATGGCAGGCAGGCTGGTTCCTCTAGCTGTGGAATGTCATCCGTAGCACTTATTGCATGCTTAATATAATTAGTCCCTTCTTCTGTCTCCTAATAGGGTGTTCGGTTCAGTGTCTGCCTGAGGTGAAGGAGAGAGCAGAGGCAGTAAATCTATTGGATGATTTGGCGGAGCTAGGTGAAATGTGTCAGTCCGTGAAGCAGTTTAAAAACCCTGACACTATACTATAGCCTACTAGCCAAACTCTGGCCAGTGTACGACTCATTTTGGTCAATTTTGGTGCCCAGCGAATGACACGCGCATGCGATGACACTTTGAGCAGTACATTTATGGAACTGAAAAAAAGAGGGGATTTCATTCTCACCTCATTTTCTGAAGAGCTAGCTGACAGCAGCACTTCCTGCGCATCAAAGAACTCCGATAGAGACTCTGTAATGGAAGCTCTGCTCTCATTAGATGCCTGGTGAACAAGAGGACGGGAACCATCACTGGAGTCTTGCTTCTGTATGAAGAAAAGTCATGGTTTCAAGTCACATAGTGCCAAATGGGTGAACATCACAAAGAAAAAATGTGGATCATACTTGAACCCAAAATAAAAAAAGAAAATTATATTATATTACATTACTAATATAATTAACTCTATAATGATATATATATAATGCCTATTTTTTGAACCATTCAATTTTTTTCAATATTTTCATGACAATTAAGCACACTATCCTCCAAACTTCTCATTACTGTTACATGCAAAAAATATAATGTAATACAGAAATTAATAGTCCAGTCACATTGTTTTTTAACCATTTTTTTTACATGTACACTGCAATACTTAATTTGTTCTAGTTTGACCCGGGTATCAACATTTTACACGGATTTATATTATATATACACGGCTTTACACACAATATTATGGTAGACTTTTTTTCATCTATGACTTAGGCTTGTCTCAGAAATTATTTTGTATATATATTTAGCCTTTTTTCTATATCACACACTTTTAACATGGTAAACATGAATATGCATGCATAAATAAACTATGGATAGACAAAAGCTATAACAAATAAACTTGAACTACAGTCCAAAGTGAATGTAGGAATAAAATGGTAATAACACAGTAATAATCAATGCATAGAAATGTTTGCACAGTAACTAATTAATGAGAAGGTATTGATTAGATATGTTTTTAAATATGTTTTTAGTCTGAAAAAAAAAGTTATGACTGTTTTATAAGCTCACATTCCACTGGGTTAAAACTGACCTGTGAAATGTGTGAGTTGGTTTTGAATAAATTGTGAGGGAATTATTAAATACCACCATTCTTTTTTAGAGTTAGAGAATGAGATTTTAAACACAGCTATGAGAGTTATGATTTTTATACATTACAGTGGGCTATGGAGATCTGTTATATGTGCCAAATTGTCATGAAAATCCTAATAGAAATATATCACTGGTCTTAAAATATGCTTCATTTTCATTATACAATACATAAATTCTTATTTTCTTTTCATTTTGAGATTAAATATGTCCCAAATATTTCTTGGCAACTTTCATAAGATTCATCTCATTAGCTCACGTACGAAGCAAAAAGGATACAAGGTCCCAACAGAAGATGAAAAAAAAAAAGCAGAATGAGGGAGAATATTTCTTATCAGCCCAAGACTAAGTAAAAAAAACAACAATCAGCAAACAGTTTCTTTTTAATTATGACTAGTTATGAAGCAGTTTGACAAAAAGGAAAGACAGTTGGCAGAGCTTTGCAAGCTAATTAGCGTAAAAGCAGCATGTTGACTAGAATGTCAATAAGGGAAGTTGGTTATTGATGAAGCAATTCCACAGGAACACATCAATGATAGCATGTGAAGCGTGGGTGCTGTATATGGTTGTTAGTGAACCCAGAAGAACCTTCCAAATGGTGAAAGAATATCAAAGTACACATGATAAAAATGTTATACATTTTTGTAAATAAATTTGTAACAATTTACTAGTATATATATATATATATATATATATATATATATATATATATATATATATTCTTTTTTTTGTTGTAATAACCATTTTTTTTACATGTACACTGCAATACTTAATTTGTTCTAGTTTGACCCGGGTATCAACATTTTACACGGATTTATATTATATATACACGGCTTTACACACAATATTATGGTAGACTTTTTTTCATCTATGACTTAGGCTTGTCTCAGAAATTATTTTGTATATATATTTAGCCTTTTTTCTATATCACACACTTTTAACATGGTAAACATGAATATGCATGCATAAATAAACTATGGATAGACAAAAGCTATAACAAATAAACTTGAACTACAGTCCAAAGTGAATGTAGGAATAAAATGGTAATAACACAGTAATAATCAATGCATAGAAATGTTTGCACAGTAACTAATTAATGAGAAGGTATTGATTAGATATGTTTTTTATGTTTTTAGTCTGAAAAAAAAAGTTATGACTGTTTTATAAGCTCACATTCCACTGGGTTAAAACTGACCTGTGAAATGTGTGAGTTGGTTTTGAATAAATTGTGAGGGAATTATTAAATACCACCATTCTTTTTTAGAGTTAGAGAATGAGATTTTAAACACAGCTATGAGAGTTATGATTTTTATACATTACAGTGGGCTATGGAGATCTGTTATATGTGCCAAATTGTCATGAAAATCCTAATAGAAATATATCACTGGTCTTAAAATATGCTTCATTTTCATTATACAATACATAAATTCTTATTTTCTTTTCATTTTGAGATTAAATATGTCCCAAATATTTCTTGGCAACTTTCATAAGATTCATCTCATTAGCTCACGTACGAAGCAAAAAGGATACAAGGTCCCAACAGAAGATGAAAAAAAAAAAGCAGAATGAGGGAGAATATTTCTTATCAGCCCAAGACTAAGTAAAAAAAACAACAATCAGCAAACAGTTTCTTTTTAATTATGACTAGTTATGAAGCAGTTTGACAAAAAGGAAAGACAGTTGGCAGAGCTTTGCAAGCTAATTAGCGTAAAAGCAGCATGTTGACTAGAATGTCAATAAGGGAAGTTGGTTATTGATGAAGCAATTCCACAGGAACACATCAATGATAGCATGTGAAGCGTGGGTGCTGTATATGGTTGTTAGTGTGCGTGCAAGTGGGTTTGGGGGTAAACTATCCAGAGACATGATTAACTGGCACTAGTTTGTCTGACTCAGCCTCTCTATAGAGTATGTGTGTATTCAATTAGCATAAATCAACTTAAGCCTTGGGTTTTATCCCGAGGTAACAAAAACTATTCGGTTGACAAATCTTACGCTAATTCTTTCTACAATAATGAAATCTCCACTAGTGAATAATGAGCAATGACTAATGAAAAGTATGGTTGGTGGCAGCTGTACAAATGGTCTGGTCTTGATAATGGTACTAATGATAGCACATTTCCCAGACCCACCTGCAGGGGGCCAGAGCTGAGGTTTATATGGACAGAGGGCTCAGGGATGTGCGACTCAGCGTGAATCTTGCACAGACGCTCTCGCAGCTCAGCGTTCTGTGTTACAGCCTGCAAAAGCAACCAGCAGATACTCACATGGCTTCCACACAGAGCTCCTAACTATTAAACATACTGTAAAAACTGAAAAGAAAACAGGTCATTATTTATTCATCCTCATCTATTTTATAGGCATATAGTGACTAGAACTGTCAAGCTAAGACAGTAACTCGTTCACGCAGAACGCGTTTTTCCATTCCACTGTGCTACTTTTCTATTGTTTTTCTTGTACACATGCTAGACAGACATCTTTGACCACTGCGCTTGTGTCTTTTGCAGCATCTTGTGCATGACATTGCATTCTAAAAATGTGGTGCTTATGATTTAAAAACTGCGTTTTGGGACTTTGCATTCCCCCCCCTATTCTACTGCCCATGTCTCAGTGTGAATTACCCTTATTTGGAATACATCGGAAATACATTCTCAAATCTGGCACTTATTCAAATGTGGTGTGTGAAAATATGTCACAACAGTTTTGATGTTGATTACATTAAATGGGTTTGATTCTTTAGTTTTGCATAACTGATGAGGTTTGTGGATCATAACAGTCAAGTTTGAATTAGGGGTGTTACAATTATATCGATACTGACGATAACTGTGATAGTTAAAAATGAAATACTAATATCCCATTTTATTACACTTACAGTAATATTGTAAATAATCCAGCACCAGCAATGATTTGGTTCACTTCAAACATAGATTTGGACACTCCAGCATAGTAGCATATTATAAAACCGAAAAACGAAGTAGAGGCAGTGTGTAGCTACTACTGGCGCACAAAATCATGTTGGAGGAGATGACAAGTGAAGGCAAATGTATGATTCATTGGTCAAACAAAAGGAAACAAAAATAAACAAAGATGAATTTGACTGATAACTTTTTTCCCCCAAACGTTTATATTGATACACTGTAAAAAAGGATATGATCAATAAGTCCTAGCAACATGCTGTTGCATAACTTTAACTCATTAAAATTTAACCAATTTCAACTTTATTTTATAAGTTTTACAAGATTCAACTTGATTTTGTGAAGTCTGTAAAATATAATTTAAGATGAAATTGTTTTGAAGTCTATAAAATATAATTTACGCTGAAATGACTTACACAGCCAATTTGATAATACTCAAGGCAACAACTGAACTGAAGTTTTAGTAGGTGGATTTTTTTTTTTACAGTGAATTGCAATAATATTGTTATTGTGAATTCTCATAACCACAACAAATGTGTAGCGTTAATCTGAATTAAAATGAATATGCAAAAGTGAATTTGAGATTTAAACAGCCAAAATGAGAATGTGACAGAAGAAGGTAATACTGTAACAACTTAAAGTTGAATGAGGTATATGGACTTTTTGTCTTTTTTTAATACTTTTTGTCTTTTTTAGAGCTTGACAGCCCTGATTTTTGGGTGAACTGTTCCTTTAAAATTGTCTAGCAAAACATTAAGTTCTGGAGTTCAAAGTTACTTGAGACTAAACGTGACCAGTTAGGATGAAGCTGGACTTTGAATTTCAAACCGATTTCCCTGCAGTTCTAACAGATAACAGATGTTAGTTTGGCGTTTATTATTAGAAGTGCTAGAGTGGGGGTCTGCTTCACAAAAACGTGACTCACTGAGGAAAATGAGTCATAATTTAGTGTTACAGCACTCGATTTAGCACAGACTGTTTTTAGCATGTACAAATTGTTGCTGGGAGGGTCAACACTATTGTTCACAAGATTCATTAGAAGCTCGACATACTCCTTATACTACAATAGCTCTTCCACAGGTAATCCTCTGCTCTTCTAAATAATGTCTTATACTTTGGCCATTTAATGAATTGATATAAAAGCTGCATGTTTACATAAGCACCAAACAAGAGCTCTGCTTGCATGCAATGTTTTAAAGAGATATTTAGGCAAGAAACTGAACAATTGTTAGTAAGCAGTGCTGAGCTTGAGGAAATGCACAGAGAGGAAATGAGTGTGTTTGTGAGCATACAGCAGCCAGGGTATTCTTCAGTCCCAGGAGCTGGGCCGAGGGGGCAGGACAAGACTCGTGCTCCAGCATCTGTTTAAGTCTCTCTTTCTCTGTCGTCAACATGCACAGGGCTGATTTCATGGTTGTATGAACTGGTAACAAAAACATAAAAAAAGAGTTAAGCATCATTTCAGGAATATATAAGGACAAATCATTTAAGGATCTGGTTTTGATTCTTACATTTTCATGCATGATTTATTAAAACATGATTTATGAAACACAATCTGCTTGTTATTAAAGGAAGTATAAATATTAATGCAATGCCTAATAATCTCTGAGTCATATGTCAGGAAGAAATTTATTTATTTTAGAAGGCGCTTTCACATGGCTTGCATCAGGGCAAGTTTCATATGCTACTTTGGCCTCCTAAAACCTGCTGCAGATGCAGATCATAAGGGTGATTTTAAATCGTTGCTATGATAGCAAGGAAACAGGAAGTGTGCGCAGTAAACAGTGAACACATGTACTTGAGCTTAGAACAGAAAAAAGGTTGATATTACTTAGATCCTTGCAGAAAAAACATTTGCTGAACATGGTTTCACCAAAGTTAACTACTTCTTCTCATATTTTCGTACCTAAATGTTTTATCAGGGTACATAAAAATGTTTTAGTTTATTAAGTTCCTTTTTTTTGAGTAAAAAACTAAATAAAATAAATATATATGCTATTTGGGAAATATTATATATATACTACAGTTCAAAAGTTTAGGGTTTAGGCAATTATTTTTGAAAGAAATTAATACATTTATTCAGCAAGGATGCATTAAACTGATCACAGTAAAGGATGCATTAAAGTGTCAGTAAAGACTTAAACTGTTACCAAATATTTCAAATAAATGCTTTTCTTTTGAACATTCGATTCATCAAAGAATCCTGACCGTTTCCATTTATATTATTAAGCAGCACAACTGTTTTCAACATTGATAAAAATAAGAAACCTTTATTGAGCACCAAATTATATTTGCATGAATATTATTTACATAAGCATATTAGAATGATTTCTGAAGGATCATGTGACACTGAAGATTTGAGTAATGGCTGCTTTGCCATAACAGGAATACATTACATTGTAACATATACTAAAATAGCAAACAGTTATTTTAAATTGTAATAATATATCATAATATTATTGTTTTCATGCATTTCTGAGCAAATAAATGCAGTCTTGGTGAGCACTGGAGACTTGTTTTAAATGAAAAAGTTGATAATTTGATAAAAATGTAATTACACATCACATGCTTTAAGGTGTTTACTTTGACTCAATAAAAATAGACTGTGAGGTATTCAAGATCTTTTCATATAGTTTGACAGTTTTAGTAACTCATGTGAAACGCTGCATGTCTCAGACACTGTAAAGAAGGTAAACATTTGAGTTTTTATGTAGTTTAGTGTAGATTTCATCACTAAACAAAACTACACATTCATTTAAAGCTGTGTATCATGTGTCTTGTATTAGCAGGGATATTTCTCTCAAGCCTTAATCAGCAACTTTTGAAACAACATCACAGAAGCACCAGTAATAAACAGATATACTGTACTATACATTACAGGTTTGATTATTTGCATGTCACTGATGTTGCCTAATTTACAATGGCCAACCACCTGCAGTAAATAGTGGATTTTCCATTTCAATTCACACTAGGTTTGTAGGTCTGGAGCCACCAAATCATTTGAATGTATATCAAAAGACTATAATTTGCATGAAATGCTGTGCTGGTATCACTACCACTTATAACTAGCTTAATCAGCTAGATATACTACATTTGGTCATCAGTATTCACTAGAAATACCACAGTAATCCATAATGTAGAACAGCATCAAACCAGCAAAACACTACAGGAACTAGCATGGAAACTCATGCTATTCTAAGTGTTTTAGTATTTTATTCTTGCTGGTCAGCTTACCTAGGTTTTGATATTGTCCAAGCAAACCGTTTGACCTGTACTAAGGGACCAGCTGGGTAATTTCTCTGACAATGAGATACTGATTTTCACACATCATGAAGATAAAGTGCAAAAAACCATTTGCAATCAACATCTGTCGCATTCTCCCGAGTTTTAGCTCTTCCCTCAGCAATTTCCTCCTGATGACATGTATTTTATATGCAAATAAGACATTCTGAACCAAAAATGTAGGATTTAGGGGAGAATGATGAGGTATCATTTGTCACATAGGATAAATGGTGCAGTATTCTAGTGATACATCACTAAAAGTCGTTTTCTGTAGCAGAACTCACGGTTGTTTGCGACACAACAGAAGTCTTCCTGCAGTTTAGATACATCTATAGGCGATTCTTGAGTTTCATGGTAAGTCTTCTCATTGGTCAGGTCTACTGAAGAAAGGTTGGGATTGGACGCATGGAGACGGACAGAGTCTGCTGAGATACAGCTCGGAACCTTAAAAATATTAGGAGAAAATATCAGGTCAACAGTCAGTGATGGTGCTATTCATTTTGGCACGAGATAAATGGCCTGGGGAAAACATGATAGGAACTTTCTCTTGCATGCAGTAATACTAATGGTCCTTTGTGTACTATACTACATATAGTAGTACTTAAGGGACTATAAAACGAGGCGACTATCATTGTCATCACACTATTCATGCATGTAATACATCAGCAAATCAGCTCCATAAAACATTACGTTAACATTAAAAATGCATAGCTCTCTAGTAATTTGAAGTATTCATGGAGTGATTCATAACTGCCTTGTGAGCTACACAAAGCCTTTTTAAAGGTGGTTTTATGTTTTAATATCTGCAAGTATAAGGTCACGGATCACCTGCAGGGTTGTTTTGTTGTCTTTCCCGTAATTCTTGGGACGCCATTTTCTGGGATGTCTCTTCTCTTTTTTTGGGCTGTCATACGTTGAGGCCTATACAAAATGAAAGATACTGAAACTCTGTATTTATTTTTCTTCTTTTTTTAAATTCCTATCATTCTCCTAATACATACTGAAAACATTCTATTAATCCACTAAATAGATTATTTGTACATATGCACAATATATACCGAACATATGCACCGAACCCCCAGCTGCTCCCCAGGCGCCGCAGCAAAATGGCTGCCCACTGCTCTGGGTGTGTGTTCACGGTGTGTGTGTGTTTGTTCACTACTGCGTGTGTGCACTTGGATGGGTTAAATGCAGAGCACAAATTCCGAGTATGGGACACCATACTTTGCCACACGTCACTTCACTTATATATTGGTAGCATATGAGTTAATTGCCGATAATAGAGATGATTTAATTTGTCAGTATCAATCAGTATTGGATATATATTTCTGGGATGTCTCTTCTCTTTTTTTGGGCTGTCATACGTTGAGGCCTATACAAAATGAAAGATACTGAAACTATGTATTTATTTTTCTTCTTTTTTTTAATTCCTATCATTCCCCTAATACATACTGAAAACATTCTATTAATCCACTAAATAGATTATTTGTACATATGCACAATATATACTGAACATATGCTCCGAACCCCCAGCTGCTCCCCAGGCGCCGCAGCAATATGGCTGCCCACTGCTCTGGGTGTAGTATCAACTGGAAATGTAATTGTGCATGCTCATTTCCCCTATTTTTACATTTAGATAGCTTTGCCATCTTCTAACACTCATCTAGCAAGTTCATATTTAAACACTAGTAATTTAACAACTAATATTAATTGTATTCTTTAGCAAATCTTGAAATAAATATCCATTTTCATACTATACATTATAAATTTGTGATGCCCAAATTCACTTAATAATATAGAATATATAGGCCATCTATTGGTTATTGGCCATAACATGAAAAGAGTAAAAAGCAAAATGAGGAAGAATTGTGTGACAATAAGAGGATTAATGCCCAGCATCTTAAAGGACAAGTTTGCTGATTTTTAACCAGCTTTGTACTGTAAATAAACAGTGTGTACTCTCGCCATGTTACTTGTACCCAGATCTCTCAGCTTATTTGTCGGCCAGATGACACAAAACAAAAATCTGCAAACTAGCCGAGGACAACATTTACATTCACAGCAGCCAAAGTAAACAGCAGTTGTAATAAAATAAGGCAGCCCATTTGGCAGATGAATGGACAGCTTTCTGAATTATAGCTCATCTGTAACAGCGGTTATGTGGAATAATTTGATTTATGACCGCAAAACACATCATGAATATCCTTGTGAAATTGCGCTATCAACTGAATGACTGTTTGTCAGTCAGGCCGTAGGCAAGAACATTAACAGCATCCACAGGCACAGCTGGACCACTGCCTGAGGGACTAAGACTGGCCTTTTTTGAGGGCAGCAGTTTTAAAGTTTTTGTCTATTAAACATTTTAAAAAGTCCAAGTAAAACTTAACTTATTATTAATTCAACTAGATACATCATTATATTTGTTGGATATGTGGAACACTTTATCTAACTCTTCTGACAGGGCTTCAGACAAAAAAAAACAACTAAATGCCAAATAATTTTTAAAAGTTTTTAATATTGTCATGTGTTTATGTCTCATCTTTTCTTGTCTTTATCAGCATTTTAATCCATCTTTTAGATGTCCTGGGAACTAGGGATCACTTTAAATGTCTTTTCCAACTTGAGGACTATATATACAGTCACAAAGAATTGTTTATTATACAGAATCTGTGCCAATATCACGGACCATAACAATGACAGAATCACTTGGCCCTTGACTGTAGTTTGGGTTCCTCCTCAATGCAGCCTATAAATGTTGTCATATGTCTTGCACACATCCAGTCTGTTTTTCTTCATTAGTAACATTCAATTATAGAAGGTGTTGAATTTGATCTTTAGCACCTTGCATTCTTTCTTATCATGTAGGCAACAGGTTAAGTAAAAAATATGAATAAGCAATATAGTGCATAAATGTAGCAAAATGCTCTTCTTTATAGTTATTTTTTCTAGCTGACTAATGAGCTTATGTTCTGAGGTAAATGTTTGTTATGTTGCATTGCTTACAAGGTTTACACATTTTCCGCAGTTTGAAACACTGAATGAGCGATTACATGAGACATTTCAGTCTTGCACACATCCAGTCTGTTTTTCTTCATTAGTAACATTCAATTATAGAAGGTGTTGAATTTGATCTTTAGCACCTTGCATTCTTTCTTATCATGTAGGCAACAGGTTAAGTAAAAAATATGAATAAGCAATATAGTGCATAAATGTAGCAAAATGCTCTTCTTTATAGTTATTTTTTTTTTCTAGCTGACTAATGAGCTTATGTTCTGAGGTAAATGTTTGTTATGTTGCATTGCTTACAAGGTTTACACATTTTCCGCAGTTTGAAACACTGAATGAGCGATTACATGAGACATTTCAGTCAGATGTACTGTATCTTATGTACCTTTTGATGTCCATTCATGTTTATCTCGTACTATAGTAGTAAAGAGAAAGATGATGGGTGAGGGGTAAAAGCGAATTCTCATGCCACATTAAAGAGCACCAAAACGGTATATTTGAATTTAGTTATGAATTTGGCAAAATTTTAAAGCTGATACTTTGTTTATTAAAAGGTAACAGAGCACAAAGCTTATTTGTGATTATTGGACAGCAAGTGCGCTACAAATATTATGAAGTTCACCCATTTACAGAACACAGCACATCTTGATACAAGATCATCAAGAAGCCATATCTTCTTGTAATGACAAGAATCTATATCAGTATAGACTATAAACAAGAATTGTTAATGATATTGTTAATGTCCACGCAGCTGACAGCTTTACCTGTTTTAGTTTAAGCTGTGCACAAAATAGACACTGCTTTTCTGCACTTTTACTTTGCACGGTGTGCCGTCAATGCTGATTTTTTTCCCGCTAACTTTGACGCATCGTCTCAGTTTATTACGTCAAAGATGTGATCACAAAACGAGCAGGAAAAAAGGCATTACATGCAAACTTTAAAGTCATAACATGTAAATGTATATAGTCACCAGTGGCAATCTCAGCAAAAACTTAACTCGCAAATTAATATTTTTGGTCGCATATGCGACTGTTTTAGGCACAGCCTGGAGCCCTGTCTGATATATGGCTTAATTATTGATTGTTAGCAAAAAGTAAAATACATTGTAATTACTTTTATAATACTGTTATAATTTTGTGTGTGAGTGACATGTAACCTGCAGAGCGTTGATGGCTGGGGCGGAGCAGGTGCGGTGTAACACCTCCATACTTCTCAACAAGTGATTCAGTTCCAGCAGCTGAGCCTCACATACTGAGAGTTCTGAGAGAGAGAGACAAAGAACACTGTGCAGAAAAAGCTGCAGACACAGCATCTTCAGTGTGAGATGGATTCATAAATTGGTGTGCGTGTACCTTTGGTGCACCTGTCCATGTCATCAGAAGACTGGAGCCAGGCGGTCACCTTGGCCTGGCTGGTAAAAGATAACGGCGAATGGAGAGAGGACTGCTTTGCGAGAGAGGCACGCTACATATAGAGAGAGACAGAAACAAAAACAGAAAATGATTGAGGAGAGAAAGAGAAGATAAATGCAAAAGTACAACAATATTAGTAAAACAATATTAGTTTCATAACATTCTGGCTATTTAAAGTGGTCATATCATACATTTATACATACATACATATATATATGTGTGTGTGTGTAATAAACAGTGTTGGGGAAGCTACTCTGAAATTGTAGCTTGACCAGCTACAAGCTACTCGTAAATTAAAGCAGTTAAGCTACATTCAAGCTACCCTTTTGAAAAAGTAGCTAGCTACACTACAAGTTAGTCAAAAAGTAAAAAGAAACTACTTTCAATTATTTTATTTTTTTTACAATTAACATTACAAATAACTAGATAATTATTAATGAAGAATTATAATGAAGTTATAAGTAAAATAGTTGGGGTTTAAAACAACATACTGTAATGCAATCATGATTTTAAAGAGTAGGGTGAATTCAGGTGGATTGGGACACTTTTCCAAGCCATTTCAATGACAAGAAGTGTCCCAATCATTTGATTTTGTAAACTATTCGATACACACAATAATAAAATACTGTATAGTTAAATAGTTATTTTAGTTATATTAGTATATTGCTACAAACGCAACACCAATGTAAGAACAAAATGTATGCAACTTAAACTGGATACGGAGGAGTCATAAAATAAGCAGGTTAAACTCACAGAACATGCGGTATTTACTGACTGTGAATGGAGATGTCAATCATCAGCTGCGCACGTGAACACTGCACTTTGCGTGAATCCATCCACAACCATCCTTTGCCAAATGATAAGCACACTACTATATCACGATTTTATTTTCTGTTCGATTAGTGTTCATTACAAAACTGTGGGGGGACAGATTATATTATGACCGTTCATCATTGTAAAATACACATTTGATCTAGAGTGCAATAAAAAAGAAAAATGTATCAGTTTAAAAAAGGGTATTTTTCACCTCTTGTATGTGCTTTAAGTCTTCGACGTAGACCACATTTTAATCTTTGTTTTGCGTAAATTACAGTTGATTCATGTGAAATATCCACTCCTGTACACCCTTTGCAATATCATCAGACGATCTCTTGTCGGTGGAAAGACTGTAAAGCCACGGGATGCGTGATATCACAACAGATGGAGGTAATGAACAAATTTAGTTTGTGATCTAGTCAGAAGAACATGCTGTGCTGCTTCAATGCATTACAGGCTTGTGACTCGTCAGTAGGGATGGGTGATACCACTTATTTTGTTATCGATATGATACCGATATTTTTCAAGGTAGTATCGTCGATATTGATACCGATTCGATTCTTCTGAACTAAACTTTTAAATGATTAAATTACTAAGAGTAAAATTGGTAATAATAAGCACTTAACTTTGTTTAAAACGCATTTTAACATTCAATATGCCTTAATTGTAACTTATCAGGTTATATTTTTGTTTACACATGGTTCAAATATGTTTTTTGTTTACACTATTCAAATCTACAAATACTACAGTTGAACTATGGTCACTTTAGTAAAACCATGGTTCATTTTCATAAGGGACTGCCAGTGACAGGCTGTTGCATGCATAAAATGCAACCTTTTTATTCTGACAGTGGATGATTTCTATTAACATTACAGAATAGAACATGGTCAATATTATCTTTCAACGTTCAATTTAAATAACTGTAATTGCACAAACTATGTAGGCAACAATTTCAGTTCGTTTATTGTGAAATAACTCTGTCCTTCTGTCCTCTGATAAGCATTGTTCACGGCTGCCGTTCCCAAAAGCTTTAATGCTTTCTTATGATACTTTTGGGAAAAGCAGCCCTGTTTGAATGTACTGTCAGAAGTGCGTGAACGCTCTCTGTGATTGATTAGTTCTGTCTTGCAACATTTGCGTGTTCAGATGAGCAGGAAAATTGTTCTATCCTACACAATTACTCGCTAACAAAGGTTATTCGTCCAATTCAATGCATATTGTACTCATTAAATTTTTTTTGTTAAATAAACAAAATCACTGGTAAATAAAACTTAGTATCGATATTTTTTGTTCGAGTATCGATACTTTCGATACTCGCATCATTATCGATATATCGATACTTCGGATCGATACGCCGATCCCTACTCGTCAGAATGCAAAACGGAATGTAGCATTTGGTCGCGCTACATCGCTACTTGCTGGAAAAAGTAGTTAGCTACAGGAAAAGCTACACTGTTTTAAATGTAGCGTCGCTACTGTAAAGCTACTGAAAAATGGAGTTAAGCTAGTAGCATCGCTACTTGTAGCTAGCTACTCCACAACACTGGTAATAAATGCATATACACTGTTGGACATTGTTAGTGGACAAATTAAATAAACTAGCCACAGTGTGAAAAGTGCTTTTTGAGAGTCTATTTTGTAAAAGTGACCACAAATTGACAGAGGTTTTAACCTTGAACAGTCTTTTAACATCCTCTCAAAGTTAAAGCACTTGTACAGTCATCGTCATTTTTTTCTGACATTTATCTTTCTGTCTAAACCCTCCACATGTCCCATGGCATTACCTTTCTGATGGACTGACTGTCAGGTATCGTGGGGGAGGAGGTGAGGGGGTAATGAGGGTGGAAGAGCATTTTCTCATGAGGGAACATGGCGATCTCATTCTGCCTGTAAAGTCTGTGGTGACGGAGCTTAGAGACCCATTCATCAAACAGCTCCTGGGACTTGATCTGCAAGGACAAAGAGACCAGAGTTAAAGGTTCAGGATAAAGGAAACCTACTCAATCAGGATTCAGAAGCTGTTTTTCCTGACACTGTGTGTCTGCATTTTAAAATGGTCCAGATTAAGGTTGACCTCATGACTTTGAATTTGAAGGACCTGCTTCCCATTCCTGAGATCAAGAGTTCAGAACGCACTTGGAGAAAAACAAATGAAAGCCGACAAAACCTATTTTGTCCCTTAAACGATTCTCTTTAAAAGAGGATTCTCTACTTGGAAGCAGAATTTCATTTGAGAGTTCAATTCTCTGCTGGGGTTTGTAATGATTTGCTAAAAGCTTTAAACAAGATAACAATATATACTCATAACAGTATAATTTAACAGTATTAATCATAATAACCTATAAGACAAGATTATTACAAATATATATATATATTTTTAAATAGCACCACCAGGGTTGGACAAAAAAGACGATACTGCAATTCAAAGAAATTCAGCACAAGAATTTAAATGTGTCTAAACAAATCATAAATAATTCACTGTCATAAATAATTTCTAAACAAATCTCATTATTTATTTAGAACATTATGCCTATTTATTTATAAATTCATATTAAGCAATTTCATACTGACAAAAAAAATGCTGTTTCTAGAACTAGTATTTGAAGTTTAAGGGTAATATGCATTGAAAATTTGAGTTCAATTCTAAATTTTATTAACTAATGTAATTAACTAGTGTAATTATTAACTACTGTAATCCTACTTAAATTCTAATTACAAGAGCAATTCAAATGTAAGTGTAATTACACTTAATTACAATTAAATTCAGAATTAAATTCAATGCACATTTTAATGCATATACCATCATAACCTCTCAGTGCAACTTTATTATAAGGCTAAAGCTAACCTAATGTACCATCATAATGAAACATGTTCCAGTAAAACTGCAGCAAAATTACAGGATGCACCAATCTCCACTAATGCTTTTCCTGTGACCGCAGAGCATTCTGACTCTGAGGTCAGTCTAATATTATAATTGTTGTGATACCTTCAGGTGATAAATGTTTTCTTCGGCGTCCAGATCAATGCACTTGGCTTTCTTCTTAATGGCCATGACGGACAACCCCACATCAATGCACCCGTGGAGCTTGCCTTTCTCGACCTGCACACAGCACAGACAGAAGGTTTGACCTATAAAAAATCACCGCTACCTCGTATATCAACACAACAGATGCTACTTTGTTGCAACATACTCAAATTACTACTGAGCAAATATGTTTCTCCTGGTTAAACCTCAAATGAATATAGATTCAAATTGAATTCTTGGCTCTTGTGCTTTTCCACAAATAATGAAATCTACTGCATCCTTTCAAAAATACAACAGAGTGAGACAGCCCTAGTGATCCCATCTTTCTGTGGCTATTAGGTTTGCATGAATGACAAAAGTAGGGATGAGAATTGTGAAGAATTTAAGGATCTGGTTCCATTAACGAATCTTTCAGTATTTATAAGGATAAATATTTAAAAAAGAGAAGCAATTCAGGTGCCAAATAACAATTACATTTACATTGCCAGTTACATTTAATAATAAATACAATACAATTCTTGCAAAAGATGTATATACTCACCAAAGGCGGCATAAATGTAATCCAACAATAGGCCTTAATTATATATTAAACATATATGTGGTAAATATATATATATATATGTAATATGTGGTAACATATTTCATTCATTTATATTTTAATAATAGTACTGACAAAACACATAACGTGTATTTAACTACACACTGTCATAACTGACCAGTCAAAAACTATACTAATTAGTTAAAATATTAAATAAAAATAACTTGCTCATAAGAGTAATTTGTCCCGTAATCTGACTAAATTTAGAATTTGTAAACATATACAGTGGTGTGAAAAGGTTTTTGCCCCCTTCCTGTTTTTTAAAATGTTTTGCATATTTTTCACACTTAAAAGATTCGTTGGTATGATGCTCTTTTTATGAAATGCTGTGGTGGTTTATGCCAGATGTAACGGGACACACACCTTCCAAAAAGTTCAACTTTTGTCTCATCAGTCCACAGAATATTTGCCCAAAGGTCTTGGGGATCTAATTTTGCTAATGCATAACCTTGTCAATGATCCATTTTCACATGGAACATTCAACTAGTGCCCTTGATTTAGAGGCCAAAAATGCTCCAGCTACATCTGAAAGATATATGGCAGGTTAAATATGTACTTTCATTATAATTTAATACCCTGGCCACTTCATGACGCTGTTTAGGAGGGCAGACTGCAGGGAAGTCAAACACGTCAAGGTGGTATAATAGCTTCTGTTATGAAATTACCGCTTTACATTAACTTTGATTTTACATACCCACAGCTTGAGGCTTTTATCAGCAGGAAACATATATTGACAGAAAGATGGAGGTTTAGGACCTCTAAAGATTGCTGGAGCTCTGTGAAGACTTACATGATGGGGAACTGACCACTAAAAGTCCTGAGTGCTTTAGTTCAATAGAGTTTGTGTATATATGAGGCCTTTTAGACTCACATCAGCTGCGCATTTGGCGTACTTCAAAATGCCCTTATCCAGGTAGAAGAATCTCTGTGAAGAAAGAAGCACAAAGAGTAGAGGACAGGAGAAACTTGGGTCAGATTTATTTGATAAATGATGAATGTCCTCTCAGGGGACGCTTACGCACTCTTGATGAATGAGAGGCTGTGTATTGCTATACCTCTTTTCTGTCTATTCTTGTATTCACTCTTTTTGGTTGAAGGGGAATATGGGTATTTTTGGAGAAAAAACCTTTGAAAAGCTTACTTAGGGTTGTATCTAAACATTAAACTGGCATAGAAGAAAGTATTTATTCATCAAAAAATGCTCACTTCATCTTTATGTTTGTGCGCTGCAATTGAACATAATGAGTGCTTGAATTGTCAGACACCCCACACTGAAAAATATTTAAAGTGCATTTTAATGTTGGTATAATCAAAAATCACGTTTCTGGTTTAATCTGTTTAGTTCAGTTTGGCTAAAAGAAAAAAGCACTCCTTGTTGAAAAAATTAAAAGAAACAACACTATTGATTTGCAGCTTTATTGACTACAGATATTATTGTGGGTTTTCTAAACTTTTTCTGGTGTTTTTGTTGTTGTTAGTGCATTACAGACAAGATGATGCATATTTTAAAAAGATATCACAATACACATTAAGGTCTTTCATCTTAATTTTCAAATTATAGCTAATTTAGCTTTTGTTTATGGTAAAATTAAGTTATAAAAAGCCCAAAAATTATTATACTGACCTACATTAAATACAATTTGATGAAGTGTGATCTTTATGATAAATAATTTCTATACTTTGTTTGAATGTTTTTGTCTGCGAAATACATATTTTTGATTAATATTAAATCAAAATGTAATAAATATAATTTGAGAATAAACGAATCAATCTAGCTGCAACAAATTAGAGTATTTTTTGTTCCAAATTATTTTTTTCAGTGCAGAGTCCATCAGAGTGAGTGCAATGTGTTTAGGCAGGTTAGCATGAATCCGCTCAGTCGCTTTGAGATCTGGAAATCTCTGCACTAATCTAATTATTCCACTTTTTCCAAATATTTTTACTAAAACATTGGTAGAGGCATTGATACATACTTTGTGCCAGCCTTTCATGGGCCACTTTCTCTTCTTCAGCTCTGTTTAGTTCAGTTTGGCTAAAAGAAAAAAGCACTCCTTGTTGAAAAAAATTAAAAGAAACAACACTGTTGATTTGCAGCTTTATTGACTACAGATATTATTGTGGGTTTTATAAACTTTTTCTGGTGTTTTTGTTGTTGTTAGTGCATTACAGACAAGATGATGCATATTTTAAAAAGATATCACAATACACATTAAGGTCTTTCATCTTAATTTTCAAATTATAGCTAATTTAGCTTTTGTTTATGGTAAAATTAAGTTATAAAAAGCCCAAAAATTATTATACTGACCTACATTAAATACAATTTGATGAAGTGTGATCTTTATGATAAATAATTTCTATACTTTGTTTGAATGTTTTTGTCTGCGAAATACATATTTTTGATTAATATTAAATCAAAATGTAATAAATATAATTTGAGAATAAACGAATCAATCTAGCTGCAACAAATTAGAGTATTTTTTGTTCCAAATTATTTTTTTCAGTGCAGAGTCCATCAGAGTGAGTGCAATGTGTTTAGGCAGGTTAGCATGAATCCGCTCAGTCGCTTTGAGATCTGGAAATCTCTGCACTAATCTAATTATTCCACTTTTTCCAAATATTTTTACTAAAACATTGGTAGAGGCATTGATACATACTTTGTGCCAGCCTTTCATGGGCCACTTTCTCTTCTTCAGCATGTAGCCGGCCTGCTTCTCTGGCTCCTGAACATTGGAAAGACCACCACGCAAACCCTCGACGATCTCCCAGCTGTCCTGTATAATTCAATTCAATACACATGAACACTGTACAATGTAACACTGTACTTAACTGACCTACGTTTAATGTTTTTAACTCAACTCCTATGAAAAAATAGGCATTAATAATAAATGTGTCAACTAGAGATACTCCAGTAGATATAATTAGATGGCTATCATTAGACACGACTGCTTTAAATTTACATTTACACATGAGAATGATGAAAAACATGACAAAATGTGAAAACAGAGAGTCAATAAGTCAAGACGAAGTGAGGAAGTAACATGACAGATTAATATGGAATAGGCATTACTATATGGTTAATATAAATAAATGAATATATAACCTTTTCTCAAATATTTTTCATGATATATGACATAAAATTAATTATATCAAAGATATAAAAGATTTAGGTCATACTAAATCTCACTCATTTGTATGATAAATAATGCAGACATTTGTGGATTTCGATGACAATGGAAAATAAATGTACAGAAAATGTTTTAGAGGGACATGAGAGCAGCAGGCCTTGAAAAATGGAGCTGCTGCAAGCTTATGATTCTTCTTTCGGAACACAGAAAAAAAAATCAAATTCAGGCATTCAACTTTGTTATAGGTTTAGTGCTCCTGCTTTATGGTTTGTCATTCTTTATTTTACACACTGGAAATATTTGTAAACAAAAGCAGAAACAAAAGTGCTAATGCAGAAAATCATGGAATTTGTATACAATTCAGAACCAACACAAACCATATACTGTATTGTACTGTACTGTATCTATGTGCATACTGTTAAGAATCAGGAGTAAACTCAGAGAGAAGAGATATGCTCTTTATTTTTTAGAGCGCTGACAGATGGGACAAAAATGTGGGTCTCCATTCTCTCTCTTCAGCAAACTCTGTCTCTTCCTCAAGGCGAGAACTGCACTGCCCAAACACACTCTAAGCAATTCACTACATCAACGACAACTTTCAAAGAGACATCTCTATAGCCAAGGACAAAACCCAAACATGCATTAAGAACCACAGAGTGAGACTAATGAAACCGACCTCTCTTACACAACAACTCAAATCAAAGAGCAACACAACCTTCAAGGGATACTGTTATTACAGAGAAACAGACCAGCTGATCAACCAACCCTTGTGAAAAAGAAGTACATTTTAGAATACTTTTAAAAAGAGTATGCCCACTTAATACAGAAATAAAATGAATATATTAATTTATTAATATGAACATTAACTTATTACGAAATAATATGAATAAATACTGAATGCAATGTTTTCGGACATCAATTGCATGTTAATTGCAATAATAATAAAAAAAGTATAGTTTAAATGCAATTAGCTGATATTTAGAGCTTCGTTTTTGGGTCATTAACTAGGACTTAAGTACATATTTATATGTAATACAATAAATATTTTGTAAACTAAAATATACTTGAATGTCATTTCTATTTAAACTTGTATGTCATGTCATGTTTAAACTTATCTGTAATTACACATTTGTAGCTGAATTTAGTGTCACAACATCACATTGTTTGGGCTTTGTTTGCACCGTTTTCTCTGTCTAGTTAGTTTTTGTTTTCCATTATGGACAGTCCTACCATTCTCCTCCTCTGCATTGATCAGTGGGAGTGCTCCCTCAAGGACCACACACGGATCTTCGTGGAACTCTTGAATTTCACGCATTACCCAGACCGACTGCCTGTGTACCTTCTACGAGGCCAGCATAAACCCCGCGACACAGGCTAAGTTGTCTGGGGATGGTCCTCAGGGGAATTTCGCCACCTTTGTGGAGTGGGTGCTGGTGAAAAATGGATCACCATCGGCCCCGCTGATGAGACTTTCACCAGCCCCACTCCTGATCCAGAGCCCAGCCAACCATCACCCCGCTGTGCGGAACTAAAGCCAGAGCCCACTGCAAATGGAGAGCCAGAGCCCGCTGTGATCTACGAGTCATCGTCTAGGAAAGCGACAGAGCCGATCATCGCCCCATAGCCTGAGCCTCAACGAGCGTTTGACCAGGTGCCGGCTACAAAGGGTGTCATCGCGGGAGTCCTCCTCAAGATCGAGGGAGCTAATGGGGACTCCGCCCACACACCAGCCACTGAGGGTGAGCTGAGACTGGACTGGTCATATGGACATGCCTGCTCTTCTCCCATGTAGCCCACCATGAATAACTTTTTGCCTGTCCTGTTACGACCAAGGAGGCCGTTTATGAATGAACTGTCTGTCCTGTCACGACCATGGAGGTCGTACCAGAATGATCTGTTTGTCCTATAACAACCACGGAGGTCGTTCCCCTGTCAGTGGCGCTTCCGGTAATGTGACTCGCCATTTTGTGTGTGTGGGCCGCACACATCGCCATTGCTCCTCCCGAGACAGCAATGTCCAGCCCAGGACTTCCTGTCTGCCCAGAAACGACCAAGGAGGTAATCCCGAATGCTCAGCCTGTCCTGAATTCCCGTTGTCATGGTTTCTGATTTGAGTTCTTCATTATGTTCAGGTGTGTTTTGTTAATTATCCTAGTTTGGTCTGTGTATTTAAGTTCCTGTCTGTTCAGTTTGAGTTGGTCGGGTATCGTGTCAGGTATGTGTGTCTCCTGCCTTCTCTTGCTTGGATTTACATGTGGATATATTAAAGACTTCTTCATGTGTGTTCATCGACATGGTTACATGACATTTAGTACATTCAAAATACATTAATTTTAAATAATAAATAATTTACAGTTTAAAGGGCTCATTGGATGAAAATCTGACTTTTTTTCGTATTTAAGTGCTATAACTGAGTGTCCGGTGCATCTACCAACTCCGAAAACGTGAAAAAGAAGAACCCAGTAAGTTTGGTTTTGTAAGCCTTGAAAATGAGCCGATCAGATTTCTCTCCCCCTCTGACGTAGGAAGGGGTTCTTATTATAATATTACTGCCCATTAATCTGCACGTTTCCACCCACGGCGCTCAGCCGCCATTGCTGTTTTCGCAAAAGACAGCGGTGTACTTGTTCTGACGCCATGGCAAAAGTTCGAGGAAAACATGCTAAATGTTCTGTCATTGGCTGCACAGACAAACACAAATCATTATTTATAGTCCCAGCCTCTGAGGAGACAAGAGAGGAGTGGATTTATTTTATTTTCAGTGGAAATCCCGGAAGGGGGGTGGGGTGCGCAGTAACTCATTATCATTTAAAGAGACATATTACACCAAAACGGGTTGGTGTAAGCAGAGCTGTTTTTGACAAGGGAAAAAGGGTGTTGTTTACACAGCCATTGAGTGTTTTTAAGCAAAATATGTTACAGACATTTCATGAAGACCCTAATAAATCATGCCAACTTGTGGAAAATGTTCATCCGATGAGCCCTTTAAATAATAAAGTAATATCGAATAACACATTACAGCTAAAATTATAATTAAGTACTTTACATGTGCTTTAAAAAACATCAAAGTGTACTTTTTTTAAAGCACAACAAAAGATTATTAAAATATAATGAATGTACTTCAAGTAAAACTTTTAATTTGGCATTGTTACAAAATACACATTTTAAATGTGTACTTACTGTAAGTGTGTTAGGAAACATAGTCATGAAAGTATATACTAAGTATAAGTGGCCTTTTATTTCATTAATATATTATATTAATATTGTCACAGTTATGAACTTTTGGTTGTGTTTCTCTCTGTTCCTGTTCTCATGCCTTATTTACAGTGGGTATAGAAAAGAATCACGGCCCTTTAAAATAATCACGTGCTTTACAGCCTGAAATGAAGACGGGCTCAGTTTTTGTTTTATCTGTATTTACTCAGTGCAACTTATAACATCCAAGTGAAAGATATAACACCAACATGTCAGAAAAAAATAAAAAAACAGAATCACTGATTTGGAAAAAGGATCACCCCCCATGTGTCAGTATTTTGCTGAACCACCTTTTGCTTTAATTATCGCCTTTAGTCTGTTGGAATACGTCTCTACTTAACTTTGCACATCTAGACTTTGCAATATTTGCCCATTCTTCTTTGTAGAACTGTACATGTTCAGTTAAATTTGATGGTGACCGTTTGTGGACTGCAGTCTTTAAGTCATTCCACAGATTTTAGATTTTCAATGGGGTTTAAGTCTGGGCTCTAACTAGGCCTTGCAAGGACATTCACCTTTTTCTCCTTCAACCACTGTGTGCTCAGTTCTGCTGTGTGCTTTGGGTCATTGTCATGTTGGAAGGTAAACCTTCTTCCCATTGACAACTTTCTGGTAGAGGGCAGCAGATTTTCCTCAAGAATTTGAGGGTATTTTGCCCCATCCATTTTTTCCTTCTATCCTGACAAGTGCTCCAGTCCCTGCTGCAGAGAAACACCCCATAACAGGATATTACCACCTCCATGCTTTACTGTAGGAATGCTGTTATTTGGATGGTGAGCTGTATTGGATTTCGGAAGAAAGTCCAGAATTCAGAAATATCGTTTGGTGTTGAGGCCAAATAATTACATTTTAGTCTCATCTGCCTCAGACTGGCAAAGCTCAGTCGTGACTCGTGACTACATGTGGCCTTTCTTGAGGAGTGGCTTTTTCTTGCAAATATTCCTCCCATACAAGCCACATTTGTGGAGAATTTGTGGTATTGTTGTCACATGTACACAATGACCAATCTTTGTCATAAATTTCTCCAACTTCGGAGTTGCTATTCACCAGGCTGTCACTTAGCTGGACGCGTGTGGACTCGAATGCCGTAGCTAGCATGATCAATCATAAAATCAGTAGCCTACTAACAGTTCGCAATTAAATCCATATCCTACCTTTTCTTGTAACCCGATAAAATCAATCCATGGCAATGAACGTCATCTGAGATAAAGTGATGTGACATGTGGCCAAGTATGGTGACCCATACTAGGAATTAGTGCTCTGCATTTATCCCATCCAAAGTGCACACACACAGCAGTGAACACACACACACCGTGAACACACACCCGGAGCAGATGTTTAATCCACAAGCATTCGGAGCATCATTCCTGCTTGCTGGCGTTCACATCAAT